AGCTGAGATTATTAGACAGTTGCTGTAAGTTGGTTCAGTTTGTTTATGCCACAAATTTCCTTATGCCCAGAGAATTAGCTCGCAGTAATCAGCAAAAATTAACGGTTAATCGCAATATCGGAAAGGGAGTAGGGTAACATATTCGTTTGTACGGTATAAGGCACCGGTGAAAACTCAAAGAACATGATCTTATTATTCTTTTGTCTTGTCCAGTTCCCCGCTATACATTGCCAATAATACGCCAAGTGCTTCGATTATGCCTCTTTCAGTTGCTAAGCCACATTTCATGGCATCTTGAACAGAAATGAACAGTAAAAGCAAATGTTCGAATGATTTCAAAACAGAAGCAGTTACCGCAATCTGTGCAAAGTTTTGTGTTGCAACTGGGTTGTTCTTCTTCCTTATTGGTGACACTCTCGACGAACGAGGAGAGCGTACAAAGCCTCACTGATCAACCACTGATCAGAGGCGTACGTGAGCAGGTTACTAGTTTAACGGAACAGAATTCCAAGATAAGAGGAGGTACGGCATCTTTTCCGGCTTCTTATGATGAGGCAATTCTCGAAAGTACCGTGCAGCATCATATGAGAAAAAGTACGATTCTCATAACTGCAGATGGTCAGGTCGTAATCTATGCGGAACGAGCGTCATCTCCATGTCAAAGGAAAAATTGGTTGGAATTATCTGTTTGAACATTAGATAGGAAGATTTTGAGCTTATATCTTCAAGGGAATTTAGTTTCATTCCTTACTTGTTCAGATTTAGGACTTAGAGAGCTTCTAGCAGTTACATTTATTCGTTTTGCTTCTGCAGTGATTTCCACTTGTGCTATACTATACTTGGTTAGTTCGCTTTTTTCAAAACTCTTTTTCCTTGCGTCAGAAACGTTTAAAAACTAAGAAAAAGCAATGGTATGCGGCGGTAGTCACTTTTCTACAGGGCGGCAACAGTGGAACATTTCGCAATTTGACTTTAGAAGGTGTTCATTAAATCGACGAAGAAAAAGTTCTTCATCGACAACAGATCTCAATTCAGTTTCTCCGGCTGCGTGATGTGTTGGACATGCCTTGGCTCCCATGTCAATTTGTAGAGGTTGGTCGCCTTCATATTGATTATCGAATACTGACAGCGTTTTTCATCTCTTGTCTCTGTCTCTGTCTCTGTCCTGGTCTTTGAACGCCTTCGATATGTCCATCAAATCAACTAACGCCAAACCTGGTTCATGCGGTTGTATCGCTTTATCGTCAGCAGGTCCTACAAAAAGCATTTCTGATAGTTGTTTTGTGACAGCATTCCTGTTTTTTGATAATGCACCTGTTTCGTGTCTGTGAGGAAATTCGACCTGAAAGTAGAGTGGTGAAGCTGAATCGTGGCTGAAACTGTTATTTCCGTTCGAGTCAATATTTTCATAAGGCTTTTGAAGGTGAACAACGCCAATGGACCCCCTGTTTTGCTCTGAGCAAATTGGCTGGCAGCAATAGCAGGTTTGACGAATCGCACTAAGAAAATGGACGCAAAGCCAGCGAAATTATATCGATTTTCTTGAGAAAAAATACGAAAACGGGCTCTGCGATCAGAGAGAGGAGTATATACCGAAACAGGTTCATTCAGCCTTCATGACCACACACTCATGACCATCAGCATCTTCGAAACTCGTCAGTAAGAATCACTAATCACTCTCACATTTGGCACTCTCCACATGCTAGATTAAAAATGAAAGTCAAATGACAGAAACGTGTGAACATGCAAATCGATTAAGTACTTACAGTTCAAGTCCTCTAGCTCCTCTGACGAAGTGTAGGGTGCGAAGAGGCAGGCGACTGACACTGCCACAATCCATTTCAGTTCTGGTAACATATTTGATCATAGGTTGATGTCGCCACAACAGAGGAATGCCTGAGAGGAGAAAAGACGCTCAGCGAGTGAGCTGGTGAGACAGTGGTTGACGAATGTCCGTCTAGCTATTGCTCATCAACTCAGGCATTGCCGATGAAGTGGTACACTCAATCACATACCTAAAAACCACATTATCTGCGACAGCGAATGCGATGACAGCTAATAGCGGATAGCTTAGTTCGAGTACGGGAGGAGAGAGAAACCAATCGCCTGAATCACTAGTGCACAGATGATTCTCGACGTCGCAGCCGCATTTTGCGCCGTCGTAAAAACATGTATCGATCAATGCATAAAAATTTAGAGGCGGCCGACAGCGTACTTTGCGTCCTCAACCTCACTGTGTATGTCCAGCTGACGTCATCGAGCTCGTTCGACCACAACGTACTCTGAGTTCGCAAAAGTACCACAAAAGTAACGAAGTTGCTGTGCTTGTCTGTCAGAAATGGTTCGAAAATGACCACCGGACCGGTGCAAGTGACAACAAGTTTTTGATGAAAGACGAATTCTGCCGCCTCGCAGTCTATGAATTCGCTAATGCTAATGACTTTGCCGTTCGGTTTTCCACTGAACAACACCGTCCAAACCAGCAGTTAGTCCGCTGCTTTTGTCAGTCTTCTCTATCAATAATACAAGCTTCCTAGCAGGACGTAGAAAGGCGTCAATCTTGTCTAATTTCAAATCATCGTTTTATCCGATATCCTACACGCTGTTCGGCTTTTCATCCTTGAGTGTTCATTTTAACAGTGGTTTAGTCTTGTATGATTGTTAAACACGGTAAAACAGTTTTGACTGCATTATCGGTTTTCCATTCGTCGCAATTACTCGTAAACCGGTTCTCCACAAAATCCACAACTTACTAGCTCATTACAGCATTATAAAATCATTTCAGGCTAGGAAAAATTCAGAAGGTCACTAACACAATGAAATAACCGGGGAAAAAGCTCTGACCACAAATATCTGGTAATATTCGACATCTCCGTTGGTCTTAGTTGTCACACCTAAAACTTTCCCATTTATCAGTTATACCTTATGCTGAAGGTATTCAGACATAAGGTTAATCAGAGCGAATTGTAGCTGTAAAGCTTATGCTGAAACAACTTGGATGCGTTTCTTTAGTATGCCCACACCAGAGCACACGTCACACCATTATCCTCACCTCCCACACCCTTCTCACCCTCCCTCACCTACTCACCTCCCTTCCCTTTTCTTAGTTGATTCTATCATAGCGCAGGATAGTAAAGTAAATTTCTTGTTCAATGCAGAATTTGCTATTTGAATAAGAAAATTAGAGCTTCGCACGGGATTCAAAGCTGGCACCTAACGATCAAAGCAACACCACTACCCACAATGCAACTGTCCATCGTCTGTTTGGACTCCGTGCCAACTAAAAGGCCTTTCATCTGACACAATCGTGCTGTTGTATGGGTGGTATCACTAACAAGCGTATCTAAATTGTCATAGTTCATACAGTACACTTCTATTTCTTTCATAGAACGCTACAAAGACAATTCATAATGTTTCATTTGAATAGTGAATCTTCAAAACTACCAGATCATCTGTATGCAACAAGATCATCAAAAGATGAATTTCTTGATTGCCAAATTGTCCGTCTACAGGTGATACTATACCATGCTAACACAACGATGGAATATTTCAATATGATGTATCGAAACTATGTAAAAACTGGGAACGTGAAGCTCTGAACTCATTTGAACCCAAACCTTTGCAATCTAAGTCAACATTTCCTGCTTGTGAGAAATTTTATTGATTTTCAGCAGAACTTTTTCTGCTGACAGTGTCACGCTAACACTTGTGTGAGGAAGGTAAATACTCACAAATGTTCTTCGTTTCTGTTCTTGTCTGCAGCTCGGTTGCAGTGATCGCAAACCCTAAAAATCACCACTTAGGTGTTACAATAGCGGCTGTTGCCGATAAACTTTATTGTCGCCATTCGGTTTGTTTGGATCAATTGGACCGGCTGGTAATCGGCGATGAGTCAAGTCAGTCCCAACACGCTCTTCATTCCTCTTACCTTCGAGCTTTCTCCCTCTAAGTACGGCCTTCGTGTTCTTTAATACAGTCTTACTGTCATGGTTCTAATCTGCGACCAAGCGGCCATCACCGAGCGAGCACAGAAGTCGACGATCATCGCCGAACGACTTCCGTCTTGGAACCGAGCTGCGTGGTCGGTCAACCACGAATTCCCCTTTCTGATTTTGATGACAACTTCCCTCAATCACAGCCGCTGTCTGGTCACCACGCTAAGGATGTGATCGCGACACGAAATCTCCAACATTTTTCTTTCCATGGCTTTTCGGTTACTGATGACAAGCACATTTCCGATTTAGTGAG